GGGCGTTCATCTCCTCCCAGACCCAGTCCACATAGTTGGAGACCTTTGTGTAGACTCCATATACTTGCTTGCTGCCACATTCTTCAGGTCCGCCCCAGGACACCAGGCCTTGGGCTACCCAGTGCTGGCTCAACTCATCGAAGATGATAAAGGCTCCGCCACTATCCCCAAGGCATGTATCCTTGCCACCCTCATAGTAACCAGCACAGAACATGTTCTCTGTGACACTGTAGTTGCCTGAACGAGACTCATAGCTGGCTTTGCATTCAGCCTGGGACACCACAGGTAGCTTGACGTACTGCAGAACATCAGACAAGGTCCGCGTGCCACTGCTGATGATCTCATCTACTGTCACATTGGGATTAGAGATGCCCCAGCCAGCCACCAGCCCCAACACATGAGGGGCTGGACCTTCAGGCTCAGGTCTGGGTAGACAGATGGGCATGACGTGGGCTCCCAAGGGCACTGGCTCCTGCAGCTGGACCAGAGCTATGTCATGGTTGTAGTTCTGGATGTTGAAGTCTGGATGGAGCACCACTCGGGCAGCAGAGCTGTTCACAGCTCCTGATTTGTCCCGCACATCATGTAGACCCAAGTAGACGGTGACATGTTCCTTTGAGACGGGTATGACTGTGTTGTCTCTACGCTGGGAGCGCAGCACGTGGGCTGCTGTGAGTATCCAGGATTCAGAGAGCAGGGCCCCACTCCCAAACCATTTGTCATTTGGTATCCTTGATGTGTCTTCCACCACGATCAGGGCCTGCCATGGGAAGAGGCCAAGCTCGGCGTTCCTGCCTCCAATAATCCTCTTCACCAGGTTGGGCAGGGGACGGGAGGGCTGCCCACACACTGTAAGGAGGAGGAAGTGGAAACAAAAGATGGGGACAGAGTCAACCATGTGAAAAGAACCAAGAGAAATTCATATTCACCCACTGTGGATTATGCCACCACGGAGCCCTCACTTGCCTGAGTCCTGCAAGCTTGGGAGGGCTCAGCTATGATTCAGTCACATCTAAATTTCTGAGTTGGCCCATGTCTAGCTTGGACCACTATAACAAGGGCCAGGCCTGTATCAGATCACTTTATGTTTTGGCCTATCCAAACTGAACCACTTCTGGGCTAAACCACTTTTGAACTGGACCATATATAGCCAGGCCATCATTAGCTGAGGACACTTATACCCCTTCTTCTCTTCTAGAAAGGTATTTTATCTCCCAGAAGCCATTTGCACTACAGGTCATCGGAGAACCTCCTGGCATTTTCTCTAGATGTCCACAGAGAAATGGAGAGAGCCTAGACAGTCATCAGATGCCAAGCTTCCAACTCCATAACTCCCCTTCATGACTCCCATGGGACTGTAGGCAAGTTGTGTGACTTTCAGATGCTCAGTTTTCTCATTTGTAGAATGGGTGTGCTGCTAGTGCTTATTTTATAATTTTTTTTTGCAGTATATGGCACAATTACTAAGTTCAGTGAGAATTTTGTAGCTTTCACACCAGACCAGGAGGCACAGGTTCTTGACTTAACTTTTCCACTTTCTGAGTGAACTGAGCTCCAAAATTTAAATTTCTTGGATTCTTTTCTTTGTTTACCGTGTCTACAATTTATACATGAATGCCATTGTCAAACGGTTGAGGTTAACTCAAGTTGACATAGCTATCAAATCAGGTAGTGGGGCCTAAACTAGACTATAAAGATAGATGTTTCATCTGTAACCTATACTGCTTTATTACATATTAAGACCATGGTCATAGGCTTGAATAATTTCTCTGGCCTAAAGGTCTCGCTGATGTTTGTTCATTAAGGCTCAGCATATGTGGGGTAAGAAAAAGGTGGCATAATCCACAAGCAATGATGCATGAACCCTGCCCAGGGTCACCCATCATTGCACCCAGGGGTCCTTTAGTACCTTCAAGAGAGCGGCACCCTGAGCACACACGTGTGTCAACAGACTCCCACAGCCACACTTCTCTGCCTTATAGTGAGCAGAGGCTCTTCAGTAACAAGCCCTCACTGGCTGTGAACAGCCTCATATGGGTGTTTCCCAGGAAGGAATTTTGACGCTGGTGTGGGTGTGCGCTTCCTGTTGCAATGATCAGGCTATCCTCTTTGGCCCTGAGCGCTTCTAACAATCCGTTAGACCAAGGAACATTTGGGTTCTTTTGTGACTTTGGGAGGGTAAACTTTGAACAAGCTAATGCTTTTCGGATGCTCTTCTTCTTAGTGCCAAATGCTTCTTCCACCATCCTGGACCATCTCTTATTCCAAGCCAGATGTAAACAGGCCTTCTAACCCTTTTTGGCCTGGGCTTTGAAGTTGAGGGCCAGTCTCTTATTACAAACAGCAGACAGCAAGGTGACATTTCAAGGCAGGTCTGTGACATGTTCTACATAAAAACTTATCTAGCAGACAAAGGCCATAATCTGGTGAGGGACAAATAGATGACTCAGTCCATGTCACACAGAGCTCATGGCCAGAAACAAATGGTTCCTTTCCCCAACCAAGGTGCAAGTATAATCCCAAGGTCACAGAAGGTCACAACCCAAAGAATGTTAGAGAACAGTTCATTTAGATATGGAGAAAAAAATTTTCAGAAAAGGTTGTTTACTAAGAGTCATTTATATTAAGAAAAGGAGATGCACCCTGTTTGGTGGGACTAGCTTCATTTGCCCTTTACAATGCTTTATTTCTGATGTACCTTTGATTTTTCAAGGGCTTAAATGATGCAACAGGTCATTGGGGGAGTTTACTGAAACAATACCCTCCTCCTCCCCATCCTTCTCATTCATCTTTCTAAGTAGGTGTGTACCACTGCTCAGTGAAACGCAGCAGTTGGTGACAATGACCTCAGATTCCATGATTGGAATCCTCCATGTTGGCTGCTGTTACTCTCCCACCAGTCTTCCCTTGGACAGAGAATGTCCAAAGCTTTGGCGATGCTGAAGCCAGGTTAAAACAAAAAATGAAAATGGTGGGCACAAAAGGAAGTGGGTTCCTTAAAGCAGAAAGGTGATGCTCTGGGATTCTGAATAGCTTTGGATGGAATAAGTTATAACCTATTAAAGAAAGTACGGCACTGCACATGGAGGCAACTGTATTCTGAGTTATCTTGTAGTTTGGCCCCAACTCCAAAGGTCACCATACTCTTCTGAAAGTGACGAATCTTGTTTATAGCCCTCCACCCCAAAAAGGACAGACATTGTGGTGGTGGATGAAGTGGTTTTATCCTTTCTGGCTTACTACCCAGGCTTTCAGAAGAAAAGAATTTGGAAAGTTCTAGTGTGGTCCAATGATCCACTTCGGTTCTGCCAAACTCTGCTTGTTAAAAGAATTTCATGACTCAGTGTATCCGAGCTACTCTTCACAGAGTGAGGCTGATGACCACGGAGAACCATAAAATGTGAGCCATTTCTTGCGCATTCATTTCTGAGGGATGGAATCCCAGCCCCAGATAACAGAATTTCTTACCAGTGACCCCACTGGGAAGCAGCTGCAGCAGGCATGCCCCCAGCCCAGTACGTATTCCCCATCCAGACATCACTTTGTGGCTTTCTAGGGTGGGAACTGATTTTTAGTTTTCTTGGCCACATAATCTTTTAGGAATATGGACACCTGAACCTCCAGCTTGCCAAAGACCCACTACTTGCCCTTTTAAAGTCTTCCCCACTTTGAATCCTCGAATGTGCTTATGGCCAAGACAATTAGAGGTGAGTGGAATTGTTAAGGGTGTGATTGGCAAGGCCTCTTCCTTATACCAGTGTTCACCCCTCCCTTCCTGCATAGGCATGTACCTTTACTTCCCCTCTCTAGGAGGCCCAGTGTATCTGTGACGGAACTGGCTCAAAGTGTTGCTGTGTTCTTTATGTCATGAGGGTTAATCTCAGAAAACTCCCTAACCTATTGTTTTAATGTGTGACCCAATATTTACAAGCCTACTAACTGAACAGCAACAGACTACTAACACTCACCATTCATACAGGGCAATATCTCAATATGCCCAACATTTTCATTCAGTAGAACACGAAGGCCACCAGATGCTAAGCTGATGTCCACGGAAATGTGCATATGGAATCAGGAAAGACAATAACATTTCCATGTTCCTCAGTGCCGTCTTAAGTGCCCATCATTTGCTTGCTATTATTCTTGAATTTTAGAAATTAAAAACGCATAAATCACAGCATTGTATATACTGAAGTTACTTTCTGTGGGTTGTGTTTAGCCCTACAGTGTGTGATCTTGGGCTATTTCTAACTGTTCATGGATGCACCGTGGGTCATGATGCAAAGCTAACAGTCATCTATACTTTTAATGCCAAAGCAGATTCCCAACATCTATATTCATCCTGACCCCTCTTGTTACCTCAAAATCTTTGCACTTTAAAGTGGGGCCAGTAGATGAAACATGGAGGAGGCAGAATCATAACTATTTGTGCACATAACTCTTTGGGGGTTCAAGAGCACATTATAGTTATCTTCTTTGAGGCCTGGTGTATGCCTAAGGACAGAGTGTCCATTTTCTTGATTTCCCTGGCACAACACCAGGTGCACACACAAATTGCTTGCATGAAATACCTAGTGAGGCCGGGTGTTGGTGGCACATGCCTTTAATCCTAGCACTGGGGGTGAGGCAGAGGCAGGCGGATCTCTGTGAGTTTGAGGCATTCCAGAGTAAGTGCCAGGATAGGCTCCAAAGCTATACAGAGAAACGCTGTCTTGAAAAACCAAAAAAAAAAAAAAAAAAAAGAAAAAAGAAAAAAAGAAAAGAAAGAAATACCTAGTGGGAAAAGACTAGAGTTGAACAGCAAAGAGATAAGAGGGCTTCTGGGTTTCTTAAGCAGGCCAAGTATGGACACTGGTTAATTTGAGAAGAGGTGGGGCTAGACTTTTCTGATCTTTAACTTTCTGATGACATCACTTCAAAACCAAAGCTTTTCCTCCTCAACTTCACATTAACAGGCCTTGCGTGGGAAACTGAGAGAGAGGACTCGGTGGGTGAGGTACCTGGAAGGCAGGTGGGCAGGCTTCTCTTCAGTACTTCGTTTGTCCAGGCCCCATGTGCAGAACACGTATATACACCTTTGTGAGCAAGAAGGAGGGAGTGGAGAAAGAAATTGATTATGTGGAACACCTCAAAATAGAACTGGGTTCTCAGCTGCTCTAATGTAGGTCACTGCAGCTTTTCCAGGGTCTCTATGAGCCAGTCCTCTCTGCAACCCGAAGAAGCTTTCTCTTCAGCTTACTCTCCTCAGAAATAAGCACCACACTCTTCTGCAAGGCTCCATAGGCCCTGACAGTCTAACTCTGCCTACCTGAGAGCAGTCTATGCCTTTCTCTGTACTCCCCGGCCCTGGCAGGTGTCTCCTCATGGGTCACAGAACATTTGTTCACTAAGCTCTGTGCAGCACACATGCCTCTCTCTTCCTTCTTCAAGCTCCTTAATAAGCCATATCTGTGTCCACTGCTCGATTGGGCCGTACAATAAATATCCCCGTGAGCTACATAGCACACTCCCTTAGTTAAATGCGAGCTTTGGAGATGTAGGGGAACTAAGGGACTGTTCTCAGTGATCACATGCAGAAGGCAGACTTTCTTGTCTTTATGAGGGTTGTTTTTCTGCTGGAGACCACAAGTGATTTTGAGGGTCCTCTTGGTTTGAGTCCACAAGGCCTTACTCTCAGGAGAAGTGGGGCACGTTTCTGATTATTTCTCCTTCGATCTCCTCACACACCTTCACTGTGACCAACAGACTGGCTGTGCTATTCCTTTCCCCGGGGGAGGGGGTAGGAGGGGGCAGGGAGAGAATCTTGGCCAGAAACTGTGCAGAGGCCTGGACAGCAACAGCTGTGGCTGTGCTTGGTCTGGGACATGTTGGGTTTCCTGCTGAAACAGGTCAATCTCTTCTCGTCTCAGCCCATCTGTGTAAGACATAAGAGCATGTCTCTGAAGAAAGCCCTACAGGGGTGTGACAACTCTACTGGGTGGCTTTGGTCTGGTCAACCAAAAGAAGAGGAAGAGAACAGTGGGGCCAGCTACAGCAGCCACTTTCTAGAAACCCTGGCTCTACATCAGACACATGAAGGAATTATTTTGGGGAGAGTCCAGACTCCCTTGAGAGGCTCGATTCTTCTCTGAGTTTTGTGGTGTGTGCATCTTTCATGCTCCACAAATAGGCTCTATATTTACAATAATTTTTTCAGAATTTCAAGGGAAGAGGAAAAACACCTTGGCTTTGGTCTTGGGACTATCTAAGTGGATCTGTCACCTTGAGCATCTGGAGAGCAAGGGTCAAATGATGTGCCTTATGAGACATCACACTTCGGATCACAAGGCTTTGCACATGTCTAGACAGCCACTCCTAGAGCCACTCAGGCCCCAGCCTGAGGTCCTGGAAGTGTGAGGTAAGTTGGTATGGAGGACTTACCTGTGGTATTGTGAAGCATCTTGAAATAGGGCTGCTGGCAGGAGTATCTTATCTCAGATTTGTATGTCGTGAGGTTGTTTCTTGTGGAGAAGGTCACCAGTCCATGTTTCAACCCCGCTGGGACTCCACAGTCTACAACTGAGAGAGAAGAAGTGAGACCCCTTAGCTACCATTTTTTTCTTCCTTTTGCAGCCACCAGGGTGTCTATTTTCCCTAGAAGTGCCAGTTATACACTACACCCAACTCCAGGGAGAAATACTATATTCTATCTGACTGGTACTATCCATATATCTGGCATCTCCACTTTTGGCATCTCTCCATTTACAGTCCTACTCTATGGTCAACTTACCTGCCCTGGGGTCAAACTCAGGGCTGGGGCAGCCCTGATGAGAATTATGGGGACTAAAGTTTATCCCCCCGCCATAGCCTTGTTGACTTCTAGTTTGTTTTGCAATCCTCTCTGCTTCCATTGCCCAGGCATGAAGCCCACAGCTCAATGAGAAAATTCTGGTTGACCTGAATTAAATCTTCCTTTTTTTTCCAGTCCCAACCGCAGGCCGAATAAGAACATTTAATGTGCTCACATTGGAACTTAGTATTAAAATAACAAAGCCAACCAACCAACCAACCAAAAAAAAAACAAAAAAACAGTCCCAATGTTAGTGAGTATACAGCCCCACCCTACTGGCTTCCTGCAGGCAGCTCATCTGTCACACAATGCAGGGTGAGTGGTGTGGATGAACTTCCCATCTCCACCTGCTCATTCTCTCCTCTGATAGTGGTTGGATACTGGGGCTATCTATTATCTTAGTATAGGACATGACCAGAGAGACACCACCTCCTTAGATGGGCTTTAGGACGCCACATTTTAGGTGAGCTGCTAGCATGGATGCTAGCACGGATAGAGTCCAGCATGAGTCAGCCTAGTCAGGCATCTTTTCATGGTTGCCATCAGAGGCTGAGGATCCAATCTATTGGTTTCTTTTCAAGGGCAACCTTTAGAGAATCCTGCTTGTTTTTAAGGAAACCATAATCCTACATATAATAGTCTATGCCAGAGTTGGAGAAACATGAAAATCCACAGTTGAAAAAGAAACGGAGGCAGACCATGTAGAGTTTCCTCTTTATGTCAGAGACAAGCCAAGAGGGAAGACTTGACTGGTCTAAAGTCACCTAGGGAGTTATTATTAGTGTGAGAACTAGCCTTGACCTTGGGTTCGGTGTTTTCCCAGTAAATGGTACTAGCTGTCCCTGAATATCTGCTTTCCAGATAAACAGTAAACATTAGCTGGCCGATGTGGACCTTAGCTGTCAATATTTCCAGAGTTCTGGCAGAATTTCCAAAATTGCATTGACCCACTGGAGAAGAGCCGCTAACCTCTGAGCACCATTCAGACATTTTTTTTTTAACCCTAGTTAAACCTAGTTAGAAACCCATGGTTTTTAACCCTAGGACTTTGCACTCACCTTTAGATTGACTAAAGTTACCTAAGTTACCATTTGTCTGATTTCAGAACTTTCTAGATTAGATAAAAGGGGATGAGGGAAGGAAGTTCATGTGGGTACTTTTTACCCAAAGGGGTCCTTGTCTGAAAGCCCCCTGAACTCATTACTTCCTTTGCATTGATAACCCAGCATGCAGATGCAGTTTGTGGGGTAAGCATGTGAAGGTTAACACCAGGATAATAAGAAATAGAAATTGCTATTTAAAACCCTAAGTAGATATAGATTTACTTTCCTGATGGGACTTGAATCTGGTGTTCTACCTTTAGGAAATCTCTCAGACTGGTGCCTGGGTACTTGTACTACTGCCGACTCCCTGAGCCTTCTAGAAGTTTCCTTAGCTTCAATAATCCTCATGACTCAACTACCCTGTCCCTAATGGAGGAATTGGGTACTTGTTCCTGTGCTTGAGTGGTTGTTGTTAGCAGGAGATATTTTCTCCGTAGAGGGCATGCTTTCACATCGTCCTGGATATGTAACTCTGCCCACAGATAGTGCCATAGAGAGGGGGTGATAAACAGAAAACAGAGGGCCGTGTCCAATTGACTGTAGTCAGTGCAGATGGAACAACCTTCTTCCCAAATACAGAATGACAGGGAGAAAGTGCTGTGTCTTTGAGAGGAGAAAACCTTCCCAAGAGCATGAAGGTTTCTTGCCTGACACAATCGGTGTGCATGTCAGAAACTGTGTCCCTAGCTGACAAATAAGGGTTTCTTCTTGTTCTATTTGCCTCTGTCCTCACTCTGCGAACTTTCCAGAGGGACTTAAGTTCCACAACAGAACTCCTGACTGTCTAAAATTTAGCCTTCGACATGATGATCAAAGCCCTGAGCCTTGGGCGTCCAGAGGCCTAACTTCCTGAGCTGTCAGCGCACACTGATGTTAGCTGCCATCTTTGTGCTAGCTTGTTAGCTATAGGAAAGCAATGTACCCTGTCTTTGTCATTGGCCCCTTCTATACCCTGGAATCAAAATGGTCTTCTCTTCTCCCCTTCCCCAGCCTGCCCTGCTCACCACTCTGTGGTATGAGCTGTGCTAGCCTACATCTTGTCTCTCTGGTCATTTCTTGCTGCCATTTATGTTTCTTTCAACACATCTTTCTTGGCTTAAGCCCTAAACACGATTTTCTGTAGTTCAAGGGCTTCTTAGAGAGCCATACATAAGCATCTGACCCTGGTACTCAGGACCAAGGATTAAGCCCCAGGACTTTCCTGGCCTCATTCTCTTTCCCTCAGCGCACCTATATTCCAATGTCATCAGACTCCCCAGCATTGCCTGTGTCACATCTGATGACTGGACACTTTGTTTCCATGCCACCACAGCTTCTTCCTAAAATGTTTGTAACCCTTCTAACTGGACAGGTCATGTTCTTGTGTCCTTGAAATCATCACTCACATCTCTTAGGTGATATGTACCTTGTGTTGTTTGTTATTACAATTGTTTGAACACATGTCAAATCTTCCTTTTAGTTGTGAGTCCCTCTATCACCTCTGCATAATGATTGTGGATACTTTGTGGGCTGACAAACATTTGCCCGGATGGCATTTGTCTTTAGTGTTTATCCCATTTCCTCCATTAAGGGCATCTGTACCCTAAGACAGCACCTTAGGCTCTGTTCATCATCCATGCTTGCAGGATTCTGCCCTCACTAAGTGACCATCTAACCATGAGATTGGGTGGTCATAGACTAAGATCAGGACCTCTCTGACATGTGTGCTCAGCACACATTGCCTTAGATCGCAGCATGCATGCTGATAGTCTCTGAACTTTTCTTCACCATTATTTATGACCTAGAAATAGCCGTCACCCCAAGCTGAGGACCACTGCCTCCAGATGTGATTGATACTAATTTCTGTAAGGTTTTTAATCAGTGAGGTTTAAGAAACACAAAACTTGTAAGCCCCAGCAGTAAAGAACATTGGATAGTAGAATTTCAGCCCAACAATGTGGATGGGAAATTAACTTTCTGAATGAGAAGACATTCAGACTCTCAAAAATCCACACTCGGTGTTATTATTCATTTTACAAATTCATGGTTGTTAAGACAACAGCACAAGCCAAAAATTTGAAAGTCATTAAGTCGTTGGCATCCTGACCCAGTGAAACTTAAAGTATGGACTTGATCAGTAGCCAGGGTCCATGTTGACCTAGGACACATGATTGTATATTAAATTTGTGTTTCTGGATCCATGACATAGTTTCCTTTGAGACAAGTACAGTTTTTTTTTTTTAATCACCCATTGTCTTTTCATTGCTTTTCGGAGTTAGTTTGAATGGTGAGTAAATCATCAAGAGAGAATCTGTCTCAGGCAGGCAGCACTTTCCACTGCTGAGGCGCTGCTGCCTTCTCTGCATCCATTCTAACCCACACTGAAGTGGGCAATGGTGGGGTGGGGCGGGGCGGGGTATCTCTGGGATTGGGGGTCTCTGTAAGTAATCCACTCTTGGATGTCTGCACTGTGTGGGGCTCCCGTCTTTGTCATTCACTCTGTCACTGGCTCTGACTCGAATTCGTTCTCCAAATCGGTCTTGCTTTCTGTAACCATGGTGAAGTCATAGTAGGATCAGGAGACAAAAAGAAGAAAGCAGAGACAGGGAGAGGGAGAAAGAGAAAGAGAGAAAAGGAAGGAAGAGAAAAGTTAGCAAGCGAAGCAGAAATAGTTCATGCAGGAAATACAGAAATCATTCTACCAGAACATTAAGAATGCAGTTTAGGCACAGCCAGTGTGAAGGACAGTTTGGGATTGCTGAATTTGTATCATTCTGAGAATTTGCATAGTCTTACATCCTGGCTCCTGAGGAAGATAAAATTCTGCCCCTGGCTGGGAGCTTTGCATTCATCTGGCCAAAAACGCTTATTTGACAGATGGCATTCAGAATATAGCGGGACTTGTCACCACAAAGTGGTGGCAGGGCCAGGACAACAGCCCATCGTTTCCACTTCCTGTGGAAACTTTCTGTACATTTTTATCATTTTTTCCTTTTAGAGTATCATGTGGCCTAGGCTGGCCTTGAACTCACTATATAGCTGAAGATGGCCTTACATTACTCATCTTCCTATCTCCACCCTCCATCTCTGGAGTGCTGGAGTTACAAGCATGTTGCTACCAAGCGCGGTATAGTCAATGCTGGGGACTGGATCTGGTGCCTTGTGCATTCTAGGCAAGCACACAATCACCTGAGGTACATTGCCAGTCTCTCTGCTGAGTATGCCTTAGTCACACCTTGCACACTTCGTGTCTGTTTCCAACCCCTTACTCCAACCCCTTACTGTCTCCAACTCCAATCATCCCAATGATTCCACTCATATATCTTACCTGCATGTCTTCTCTGGGACCTAGCAGAGTACAGGGTGCCCACAGATGCTCAAAGATGCTGGGCGTGTGTTAACAAGAGCTGTAACAGTCCTAATCTAGCTTAATGCAAATGAATTGGGCCAACTTTTAAGCATTTAAAGTGGTCACACAAGATGATACTATCTGATATGGCCTTACTCTGTCAACGTGTCCATTATAATAACCCATGTGTTTCACCAGAGAAAAGTATTAATAGCATTTTCTGCTTCCAGAAATATGAAACAGAGATACCAAACCCCTGCCCATCGACTGGGGTGGGCTGGATATAACTAAATGCTTATTGCATTTGAATGTATTTCTGGCTCTCTACAGGCATGGGCATGTGTAGGAACCCAGTTAGTTCTCACCACAATCTTGACCACAGAGGATGAGGCCAAAAGAGTATGAGCAAGTTACCTAGGCCCACCTACTGCTAGAATCTACTGCTAGAATTTAAAGCCATAACTTCCCCACTAAAGAGTCAGGATCCGCCTTAACACCAGACACTTCCACTGAGGAATGACCCTTGCTATGCCCTGCAGGGGCCCTAGCTCAAAACCCAGTCACACTGCACACTGGGCCACCTAGTGGAGGAGCATCTGAGGCCCTCAGGCTAGACCAGGCCCTTTCCATCTGAATTCTCTACAGAATTCTGCTTTGCCATCCAGGAAGTGCTGACCTTATTGAAGTCATGCAATGACTGTCTTTGTGCTTCATAGGCCCTGACCACAGTCAATTTCCACATGAAAAAAGAAACAAGCCCACTCTGATTTTAGGTACTGCCTGTGGTTTGCCTCAAGGGAGCCTTCCTGCCAGAATTCCATGGGCACAGAGGGAAGAGAGCTGTCTGAATGCTGGATGGGAGCTATTTAGGAGAAAAGGAAGGGGAAAGAGCCCAAAGGCATGAAATGGGCATCCATGCAGTTGACCATAATGTCTGGACTTCTTCTTACTCTAAGCAAGTCTCAGAGCCCCCTTCCCCCTGACTGCCACTACCCTTTTGCTATACAGCTATATATAGTTGTTAAAAACATGGTCCAAACACTTACATTTGAAATCACATGGGTATGGGAGTAACAGGGTAGTAATTGGAAATCTATATTCTTTTACAAAACTCAAAAGAGAATTTCTGTAGGCTACTCCTCTCTAGATCCATTGGCACATGTTCTAGAATTAAAGAAAAACTCTGTGCTTTACAGTGACAGCAAAAGTACTTGTCCACGCTCACATGGCAAGAACTCTGGGTCACCAGAGGAAATGTCCTCTATTTCATATAAGTCCACTATGCTGGCACCATAGCCCTTTCTACAGGGCCCTAAGTCATCAGCTGACACAGAAGACTTAGAAGGTGAGTGATAGTCATGTGGACATTCAACACTACTCAACAGACTCTTTGCATGGGTGCCAAATTAATTTCTCAAACTAGTAATCCCCCAGCTGGAGCTCGCTTCAGACCTTGAAGTATGCTATTCCTTTTACTGCATTTAGTATCCTGTCTGCAGGTGGACAGAAAATTTTGTGTTTAGAAAGTAAGCCAGGCCATTCAAAAACTCTCTCTCTCTCTCTCTCTCTCTCTCTCTCTCTCTCTCTCTCTCTCTCTCTGTGTGTGTGTGTGTGTGTGTGTGTGTGTGTGGAGGGTTCTGAAATCTTATTTCTGAAATGGGCTCCCATATTCCTTTATGCAGTCTTATATCACAGTGATTGATTTCTGACACCTTTCTCAGAGAGCCCTGGCAAAGCTTTCAGCCCTGCATGGTCATTGCTCTGACCCTGCCAGGAAGAAACGCATCATTGTAGCCAATCCATTTGGTTTTCTTACTTTTACAGGTGGGAATCTTGTTACTCCATGTACCGTCCTTCAGGCATTCAATCTGGAACGTGTCCATTATCTCACTATCCTGAAAAGAAACCCAGAAGGCAATGGGAAGAAGGAGGGGGTGGATTAGTGAACATTTCCTAGCAAAGACAACTCCGACTTCAAACCTGGCTATCTTCAACTGGGAATTCCCCTAGGAGCCCCAAAGGCAAATCTGCCCGTAACAAAGAGACAGCTGCTCATTTGTCACCCACATTTGTACTCTGAGCACAGGCAATTGTCTCTAGAGGAAAAAAAACCCTGTAGTTTTGACTCTAGTTTCAGAGCAATGCTTCTCCAACTAGAGCTAGCAGTCAGCATCACCTCAAGAGGGCTAGCGGAGACAGACTCCTGCTCCCTGCCACAATAATTCCAGTTCAAAACATCTGACCTACCCACAGAGTCATAGTTCTAACAAGCTCCCAGGTGATGCTGCTACTGATCCAGCCCCTTCCTGAGGGCAATTCCTCCAGAGCAGTGGGCTTCTAGCCTGGGTGTACACTGGGCTCACCTGGGGAACCTAAAGATACCAAGCACTGGTTCCATCCCCCAGCCTCGGCACATGGGAACTGTGCTTCCTTACCCCTGCTGTTTTGAAAGGTACGCAGTAGGAATTAGAGGAGTGCCATCTGCCATTCTTAAAACCCCTGCTTCTCTTTCAGCACCAAACCACTCCATCTCTGATGAACTTTGTTCAGGTCCCTAATTATAGAGCCATATGGTCACATATTTAAAAATTCAGGGCAATTCATGCACTGATAAACAACTTTATGCCGCGTCCTTAAGTGAAAGGTGGCTGGAACGCATCATTTTGAATTCCTGGAGTCTTGGGAAACTGCTTAAAGGGATGCTAGGAAATGCTGAGCTGGCAGCGTGGCACCTCATACATAGTAGGGGTCTTTGGGATTTTCTTCAGCCCATTCCCTCTTCCCAGGCAGGGTTCTGCACCTTTAGCACTTTGTAGCCCGTGTCACAGCTGATAAGCACTTGGTCTTTGAAGGAATACAGGGCTTGCAAGGGCTCGATTTTCCCATACGCAGGAGGCTGTAGCTTTGGGCACTCATTTCCTGGCAGGAAGCAAATGAAGAGACATCAGGTGAGAAACAAGGAAAAGATGAGCAAAGGATCAGCAGCTAGGAAGCAAGGCCTGAAGGAGGGCTGGGGAGTCATTTTCTAATGTGGCCTCCCATTTCTTCCTTTGTAAAAGTGAAGGGTCCAGCCAAATAATTTCATTAGCACTCAGAGATTGGAGGAACATTAAAGGCCATTGTCTCACAGCAATAACAGGGAGCTCCCCCCTGAGCCCCGAACTCCAGGGATACACCCGGTTAAATAAAGAAGGGCTTCCTATTCATTTGAAATTGGTGCCCTGGCATTTTTCACTCACTGGCTATTCAGGATGACCACAGTTCTTCCCGGGACACTAAGGGACTGTGTTCAGATGCTTCTGCTTCTCTTCGAGGGTCTGATCCTGACAAGAAGCTCAGTGGGGCCAGCCCTGACACGTTCTCAGGGACAAACCTTTTGTTAACTTTTGGTCACTCCTCTCCCCATGTGGCAATGCAGGCAGAGCCAGGCCTCCTGGTTTTATGAAGATGATTAGTCACTCCCCATTGGGTTCTACTCTTTCCCCCTTGAGTTATTACAGACTTACTGAGTCATAACCCCCTCTGGGCTTGTGTCGGGACTAGCTGCCTTGGGGCACTAGGAATTGGAGCTGCAGGCTGTCCCAGGCCAGGGACCCGAATAGAGACCGATCTCTACAGAGCTCCGGGACCACAAGCTCCAGTGCCAGACTTGGAGACTGCCAGGGTTGGGGAGTCCTCTCAGTTTAAGGAATCTCCATATGAGGGGAAAAGAGAACTGGTGTGTTTTCAGTCTCTCCACCTGATACCCAAGTGTAGCCAATCTTAGAAGCTCACTCTCATGTACTTGGTTCCCAGTTTCTCAAAGTTCCACGTGGACTTTTTCCCTCCTCCCTCAACAACCCGCTTTGTGAGCAGGGTGCACAGTGGCTCAGGGTGACCTGGGAGGGGGAAAGGTTACCTGCTGCCCTGTAGGAGAGCCTCCAGCCTCGGTTCTCTCCTGAGTTGTCGCTGCGGAATAGGATCTGGACACTGTGACTCTGCGTGCTGATTGGCTCTGGGGATGTCTCTCCACAGAAGGGCCCCCATACTTTTGGACCAGCTTTAATCTAAGAAAGGAAAAAAAATGTCATATCTGAGTGGTGCAGAGACCTGCTTTCAGGCAGGTGAGTGCTGGAATTTTCTGGAATCCCCACTGTAAATCCATAGTATACACTCTTGGTTTCTTTTAGACTTATTTACCAAATGGCTTTATATCCATTTTTTGTCATAATTTAGTGACCTGTCTTAGTCAGGATTATTATTGCTGTGATGAAACACCACAACCAAAAATAAACTAGAGAGGAAAATAGTTATTTGGCTTATGCTTCTGTATCACTATTCATCTTTAGAGAAAGTCAGGGCAGGAACTCAAGCAGGGCAGGAACCTGAGGCAGGAGCTGATGCAGAGACCATGGAGGCGTTCTGTTTACAGTCTTGTTCCCATAGCTTGCTCATCCTGCTTTCTTATAGAACCCAGGACCACCAGCCCAGGGATGGCACCACCCATAATGGGCTGCCACTGCCCCCATCAATCACTAATTGAGAAAATGCTCTACAGACTTGCCTACAGCCCAATCTTATTGGAGGCATTTCCTCAGTTGGGGTTCCCTCCTTTCAGATGACTCTATCCCGTGTCAAGTTGACATAAGGTTAGCCAGCACACATTCCATCCCTCCTCTGCTTTACCCCCTGAAACCACTTAAGCCTTTCTCCCACCCAAGCCTTTCTCCTCAGCATCTCCTTCCACCTGCCATCTGCTCTCTTCCCTCCCTGAAAAATCTTACTTCTTACCCTGTTTCCTGGCTTCTAGAGTTACTCCGAATTGATCACACATATCCAAAGACTCTAAGCTAGCATCCACATATGAGAGAGAACGTGTAATGCTTGTCTTTCTAGGATTAGGTTACTTCACTCAATGATTTTTCCCAGTTCCATCTATTACCATTTAATATTTTCATCTTTCTTTATAATAAGCTGAATTGAATTCCATTGTTCATATATACCTCATTTTCATTATCCATTCACCAGGTGATGGGCATCTAAGCTTTTCCTGTGTCCTAACTATTGTGAATAGAGCAGCAGGAAACATGGATAATCAATTATTTCTACAGTAGGATATAGAATCTTTTGAACAGATACAAATGAGTAATGTAGCTGGTTCATATAGTAATTTGGTTTATAGTCTTTTGAGGAACCTCTACACTGATTTCCATAGTGGCTGCATCAATTTACATTCCCACCAACAGTGAGTAAGGGTTGCTCTTTCATCACAGCTTCACAGAATTTGTTGTCATTTGTTTTTTGTATCTTAGCCATTCTGACTGTGGTAAGATAAAACCTCAAAGCAATTTTAATTTGCATTTCTCAAATGGCTACGGGTGTTGAACACTTAAAAAATTGTTTTAGTCATTTGTATTTCTTCCTTTGAGAACTCTCTATTCAGGTCCATTTTTAAAGTTAGGTTGTTGCTTTTCTTTGTTTTTAATTTTTTTAGTTCTTTGTATATTCCAGACATTAATCCTTTGTCAGATGTACAGTGAGCATTGGTTCCCATACTGTTTCTGCTTCTTTACTAGGTCTGTGGATTCCTTTACTGTACAGACACCTTTGGATTTCATGAGGCTGACAAGGGGGACTCTTCAGAGACCAGTACAGGGGAAAGTGAGAACAGCTCTTTCACCATTATAGAACTTGAGAGCTGCAAAAGTTAGGAATAAAATTCTGTCACCAGCTTAGATGATCTTGGAAGTGGTTTTTTCCCTAGACCCTGAAGGTAAGAATCTTATCAAATTGACACCTTGGTTTCAATCCCATAAGACTAACAGAGAGCTGATAGAGCCTATTGGGACTTCTGGTCTACCGAAGCATGAGGTAAGAGTTGTTGTAAGCTGTTGAGTTGGGAGCAACTTACTCCACAGCAACTCAAGCATGCCCTGTGTCACAAACATTGCTCCTCTGTCACCTGTAACCAAGCTCCTTCTTAGCTTCTGACTCATTAGAGGGCAGGCTAGGCTTCAAGTTCTTGAGCCTTCCCCTGGGCTTCCCTGCTTCTGTCCCTGCTGACAGTTCCCTTTCTCACCTCATTGATCGCCCTGCTTGCTCTGCCTGCATAGCTCTAAGAACTCATGGGTCCCAGTTCCCATCACTTTTGTTTTCTTGAACTGCTCAGTGTCTGCTTGGCTTAGATTAACATCTGTTTACATACTAGGTGGCACCTTTATTTCTCAGGCTCAGTATCTCCCCTGAAATCACAGCCCAATATTTGGCTTCACTTAGATGCTTTACCTGGCACTGTTGACACTTCTTATTTTACCCCCCTATACAGCTGAGAACTGTTTCTTCCACTATCCCAGCCAAAGCTCAAAATTAGGTTACCTTGCATTTGACCTACACCATTAGAATAACCTCAAGTGGAGTAGTTATTGACCTTGGACATTTTCTTCCCTTGTTATTGCCTTTATAGTTGTCTCTTCCCTCAAACAGAACCACCCGAAAAAAGTGTGGGATCTAGTATAAACAAAAACTTGTTCAGAGTGTATTCGGAACCTCAAGATGGCAACAGTAGCACCTTAAACCTAGAATTTGTCCTTTGTGAGTGCAAAGCCCCATGCAACTGTCCAGGGAGCACTCCACAATGCTGAGTCAGCTTCAGGGGACCTTCCTAAAATATAGGTTTGACTTTGTAATTCTCTATTGCATATCACCCTAGTGACCAGAGTGCTGGTTTGGAATCAGAGGAGACCCCAACCTGGGGCAGATGAAGACAAAACAGCATTTTAAACAATGGCATTTGGGGAAGCTGGTGGCTTATTCTCTATCCTAAGAGAAGATGAAAAGCGAAAAGCCCAGAACATTGATTTGTTTTTCCCCAATTGAGCCAAGATGCTTCAGCATCCTTGGGACAAGCAGCCATTGCAAGCTTACCTTAATGTAGTCATATGGACAGGGCACCTCAGGATGGTCCTCAATGTCAAATATGTCCTCAAACTGCAGGCTGACCATGAAGCCCTCCTCCAGATCGATGGTATAGGAGCATTCGGAGCTCTTGGGGTAAGGGTTGGGGTAATCGGGGCTTGTGATGGTGCCTGTCCTCTGGGTAAAGAGATTGCCACTGCATTCCACTGTGGAAAACATAACAGAAAATGGCACTCGGTTGACACAGACACAGCCAACCCTTGACTGTCTGTCACTGTATAATATTTAGAGTGTTCCCAAGAGGTAGGCAGAGAAGGAATCCCTGTTTTACTGAGAAACTGAAACTCTGTGGAGGGTAATGGTCCATCCACTGTCACCAGTGCAAAAATTTGTGGTCAGGACTCAATTGTAGGCTTTGTAAGTCTTTCTCTAGGTGGGGTTTCCCAGATGATGACCCTTGTCATAGGATGCTCTGGCAGGGGCAAGCAGCTACTCTGAGAAAGAAAGGTTTTAAGATGAAGGGGCACGTGCTATGTCTGGTCTTCTTTGGGTCTTACCTCCTCCTTTGCCTAGATGTTTCTCAGGTCTCTGCTCACTCATTCTTGGTCCTCATCTAAGATAAGTCCCTCCCAGTCTCCCCCCCCCCCCCCCCCCCCCCCCACCCCCCCCCCCCCCCCCCCCCTGCCCACTGCCCAACCCCTGCCTTTCTCTTGTCTGCACAGGTCCATCCTGTCTGACATCATGCCAAACACTCCTTTACTGACTCCTTGCCACCACCCATTAAACTGAGTTCTGTGAACCCAGGATTCTGTTGTTGTTGTCATATTCCTGCTACCCAACATCCAGGTCCCCCAGAGCCTCGCTATGACTTAGTCCATTATAGGCTGCTGAACCTTGGTCCCTTGGGCTGGCCCCTCCCAGGCTCGGCATGTCTGTGCCTTGTAAGCCTTTGTTCATTCTGCTCATTTTGCAAATGAGAAAACAGTAGCCCAGAATGGCAAGCATGACTAATGTAAAGTTCCAACAAGAACTTCAGAATGAGGCCTCTTAAATCCCCATCTGTTTTCACTTTCTACCTCGAGCATTCTCATGGGGAAGCCTCACTCCTAGGAGGATTAGGAATGAATGGGGGAGGGGAAATCTGACTATTCTTATTCACGGTGCACAGGTAGATATATGGTTCATAAACAGATGCACAGCATATCTGCAATATTTTTTTTAGAAAAGTTTCCTGGGGTCAGGGTGAAAAAAAGTGAGACCCTGAGCTTTCATGCTTCTCTTTGAGAAAATTGCTTTTAAAACGTACTACTTTATGTAAGCAGGTTTATATAGGAAGCACATGACTTTATTCAGCAAGCTTTGAAGGAAGAAGTGAAGAACTCCTGTCTCCAGTCTTGGCTTCTTTTCCTGAGCCTTCTCCAAGTAGGTTCACAAGCACAGACCCTACCCTGGGCCATAGTAACGCACAGGAAATTCCCTAAATGTCCTACCACACCTCTGGATCATTTTAGGATTTGTTCTCCCTGGGCGGAAAGAACGTTCCATATGCTTTCACTTCTGTCAAGAGACACATTTGTCACTTCTCTAGGCCAGCTCAGGTGACCATGCTTCATTTATGCAAGTATAGCAAGTGTAAATACATGTGTATGAGGCTGTTGCCCAGTTAGCCTGGGGAATACCCCTGACTTGCCATCTCTGACCCAACCTGAAACAGCAAAGCAGAAGTCTTTCTTGCTGTCTTTACCCTCTTTCTTCCTTTGTCCTGGTCTGAGGTGAAATCCATTAGAGAGAGACAGAGGGGCTACTGAACAAAGAGGAAAAAGGTATCTTTGGCTGAATTTATGGCTCATAGAGAACGGACTGGAAAACCCAGTTTTCCCATTGCTTTGCCAGGTTGGTTGCTTGCAGTAGGAGAGCGGACAGAAACCTGTGGAACAGACTTTCTGCCCAGAAAGGGCAGTCTGACTTCAGAGCTTCTTGTATTCTCCTCTGAGAATGGACCCTAGACTCCCAGTAGGGTGAGCACCTCAGCATATATACATAGAGTATGTGTGAGTAGGGTGAGCACCTCAGCCTTTATACATATAGTATGTGTGAGTATCTCTGACTTCATTTTTTAGTGCTCCCACCCTCTCTCTCTCTCTCTCTCTCTCTCTGTGTGTGTGTGTGTGTGTGTAAACACAGGTGTGCATACCTCTGTGCATATGACACAGAGACCAGAGTTCAATGTCCATGATCTTCTTGGTGCCCGCCACCTAAGTTTGGGAGTGGGTCTCTCGCTGAACCTGGAGCTCACTGTTTCATTTCTGTTTGACTGGTTGGCCAGCAAACTCTTTGGATCTACGTGTTAGCACTGGTATTGCAAGCACAGATCACCAAGGCCAGCTTCAACACAAGTGCTGGAGTTCTGAATGTAAGTTTTCCTGTGTGTGCACTAAGTTCTTTACTCACTGAGCCGTCTCCCCAGCCCTGACTTACTTTTTAATTGTATGCACTATGTGTCTGTGTCTCACATGATCCGATTGGAGCATGAGGCGTACCGTGACACAGTACAGAATCATCTTTAGACCCTACCTCGGCAGGTCCTGTTGTCTGTGTGGAGGATGTAGCCAAAGCGGCAGGAGCAGTAGTAACCGCCGATGTAGTTGTGGCAGTAGTGGTCGCAGGAGAGTTCTTCATCTTCTCTCTCCTTGCATTCATCTACATCTGTGGGGCAGCCAGAACCTTTCATCAGTCACCGCACGTGTGATGATTAAGCCACATTTGCAAAACACTTGAGGGCATTCATTGTTCGGGGAGGGTCATGCCTTTCTTACATTTAATCCCCTGTGAAGCCCAGTGGTGGCCACTACCTCCCTTTGTCAAATGAGGTAAGCAGAAACCAGAGAAGTTAAGCAACTTGGCCAAGATCACACAGAGCGAGGTCTGAACCTAGGCAACCTGAGCCTTGGTAGAGGTGATTGCCACATCCTCGTTACAATGATTACCGCCCTCCGTTCCACAATTTTAGCGCCCTCATACTGTGGGTGGTCAAACTGAGGCAGAAAACTCAGGGGCTTCTTCCAGAGCTTGGCTCATTATAGCATCCTTACTCCCTCTTCCCCTGCCCTAGATCAAGTCCTGTCCTAGGTGCTTGAACATCCATTCCTTCTATAGACGCATACAAATGGCCAGGAAGTATACAAAAATGGCCACCATTATTAGCCATCAGGGGGTACAATTTAAGTCACACTTATTCACCAGGGAAAATAAAAATGAGGGAAAAAGATTGACAACATCTAATGTTGATGAGGACATAGAGCCATCAGAAATGTCATACACTGATATATAAATTCCTTAGTAGTGTGGAGAAAAGCTGGCAATTTCTTGTAAAACTAAACACAGCTGTCCTCAAACCAGCATTTCTGTGTCTAGATATTCACCAATAAATGTTCATAAAAAGGTTAAAAGAAACTTTGTTAAGGAGTATTTAAAAAAAAGGGAGGGGCGGGTGGGATGCCCATGTGTCTGTCAATGGAAAAATGGACAAAATCATTACAGTGTATTCATGCAATGGTACGTAGTTCTGCCTGGAAGCGAAAACACAATAAATGAATCTTGGAAATATTATGTTGAGCAAAAGCCCACTATATTTCCTGTGTGTTCATTTATGTGACATTTTGGAGGCAAAAACTCATCCATGCTGGCTGGAGAGATGGCTCAGAGGTTAAGAACACCAGCTGTGCTTCCAGAGGTCCTGAGTTCAATTTCCTGAAACCACATGGTGGCTCACAACCATCCGTTATGAGATCTGGTGCCCTCTTTTGGTGTGCAGATATACATGGAAGCAGAATGTTGTATACATAATAAATAAATGAAATCTTAAAAAAAAAAAAAACTCATCCATGGAAGAAGAAAGAACCAGTGTTTACTGTGAGGGAATTGGGAGCAAAGAATTTAGTTGGACAAGATCACAAGGAACTTTCTGGCAGATAGTGAATTTTAATGTGTGTTAAGGGTTTTGGTCACATAGAAGTACATATTTTTCAAAATAGAATAAATGCATGCTTAAGATTTGTACATTTCATCATATGTATATTCAATAGCCAAGCAAAACATTGCTAGGAGGGGTTAAACTAGGAAGCAGTATAGTGATGGCTGCCACCACTCTGGAACTGCTCAAGAAAGGTAAATCGTTGGATGAGTAGTGGCTAGTTAGCCAGCACTGTGACCTGTGGAACAAATGCAGCAAACCACTGCAGGCAGAATCCACGAGCAGGTGCACAGGTGTCATCCGAGGAGAGAGCACGAGGTGGTTTTCATCTCTAGAGACGAAGGGAGACCGGATGATGAGGAGACTTACCTACAGCCATGTAGTGAGCATCGAAGCCTGTGAACCGTTCCTCATTAGAAAAATCAGACCGGAAAGTGACAGACATGAAGGAGCTAGGGGAAAGAACCACTTCCTGGCCAGGAGTCTGCTCCGTGTCAGTGGTCTCCCTGCCACAGAAGGTCGCCAGCACCTGATCTTCTGTTTCTACCTTTGGGGTCAAAGTGAAAAGAAACAAGACGAATGACTTCCCATGTCAGCCTCTTTCAAGATCTCCAAGAAGACAGAGGGCAGGGCTGCCCACAGCAGCCTTGGAAACTCCGAAAGAGGGAACTAGGGACTCTCGGATATGAGGAAGACATGGGACTTGTGAATGTGGCCACCGGGTCTGTTTCATTCATTCTGTTTAGTTCTCTGAGCAGGTGCTTAGTGTCTGTCATTCTTATTGCCAGCCAGATAGTTGGAAACAATTTAGTGGAAAATTTAAAAGAGAGCTAGATAGCCTCACAGGCGTGTTCTAAATGCAACAGGAACTTAACCACACTTCCAGGGACAAAAAACTACACACAATAAGTCATTCACAGAGCATCCAGTGGGTGCCTGCCACCGAACAAAGCATGAGATGGGGTGATGAAAGATGAGCAAGGCTCAGTGTTATTCAGAGGACAGTGGCATTTAGACGAACCAACACAAGCCGAGCTGTGACAGTGTGACAAGAGAATTCACAGAAGCAGTCAGGGGGTGAAGGGTCCCCAGTGGAACATAATCGACAGGATATTAGGAGTGTTTGGTTTTTAATCACCATTTCCCTGGTACATGGAACAGAACCTGGCATATAGTTATTTATCCAATAAATATTTGCTAACAAGAATTAAAACTTCAAGACACACTGTGAGGGCTGTGGGGAGCCAGGGAGTTGGTGAAAACTGGAGGAAGAGGCTGGGCTTGAAAGGATATTGCAGCCCATTGTGGATGACTTTTGATGACATTAACGCTGTGAGTGGAAGACATTGAAAGGTTTTGAATGAGAAGTCATGTACTCATAACTGTATTTATAGGTAGTCCTGAAAAATCTAGAAACTGTCCTTTGGTGGTATCCAGAAACTGCATGCATGTAAGTGTGTTGAGATCAGATGCAAAATTTCCCTACATGATAAAAGAATCTCTCACCCTGTGCAAATTTGGAAACCAAAGCTGAAGTAATCGACTGGTTGCTTAAAGCTGACTTTCTGTGTCTTGTCGGGAAGCTGGTTGGTGCAGTTATTTGACCATGTGCATTTAACCTACTTCCTTACTCCTGCTGTGTAGCCTTGGAGGTCATTTGACTCCTTTAAGCTTGTATTTCTGTTTTCTGTGTTGATGTTTTAACCAAGCTGCTGGAGAAGATCCTATGGAGAATGGTTTCTGCCACTAAAGGGAAGTTCTCAAAGGCTGTCTGTCTAGAGTGGCTTTTACTAAGTCCATTGTTCTGTTCCTTAGCATAGTATGGCAGAATATCTTGACATTTGACATTTCTGTTTTGAGACTAATGGTTTATTTATTTAAAATAAGAAGGAAAGCAATTTGCCCTGGCAACAAAACACAAGGACAATTAATCACTAATGTTGGGAACTGAAGTGTAAACAGGAGATGAGCTCATGCCTTTGCCATTTGTTCTTTCTGCAGATAGTAGGGTCTCCCACAGCCTCTGATGGCAGAATGTACCTTTCTGTGTATGGCTGAAACTCCATTCTTCCGACTCCCAGCTGCCATGCTATTGTGGTTAGTGGGGTTTTCCAGATAACCAAAGGATTTCTAGCAATAATCCTTCCAACCCCTTTCTATGAGGCAGAGTACTTCCTTTCAAAGCCATATTCTGTGTGAATCACTAATTTCTCAAGTACAACATACTAAACTAAGCTTTCCTTACAGAGATCAAGCATTACAAATGACAAATGTCGTGATACTACATCAAAGTGGGACCCTCAGGGATACTGAGCCAAGAACTATTCGCCCTGCATGGAATACTGCCCAGCTGTATGCCTTTGCGATTTTTTTATGCCTTCCTTAGAAAGTGTTCTATTTTGTATCTTTTAATCAGTGTAGTGGCTATACTTTTCTGTCTGCCTACTTTTAATGTGTTGTGAATTAAATTAGAACCTATTTACACTGCTCTTTTTTTAGATTAAATTCACATTTATTGCAGTATTATTCACAACACTCAAGCTATGAAGCCAATTAAGTGCCCACCAATGAATGATCGAGTAAAACAAACACAATATGTATACACATGGAATTCTATTCAGCCAACAAAATAATGAAGTTTTGTATGATCAAGTTAGCCTCATTTCAAAGAAGAAGGGATAGACTGACAAACACAAATCAATAAATATATTACACAAATGGACTCAAAGATCATCTCAGTTACACTGCTCTTGTTGGCATTTCATAGGAAGGAGACAGTAGATTTAAAAGGACTAGAGAAGAGATTCTTCAATGGGTAACAGCAAAAACTGAGTGCTCTAGCTTGCGTGGTTTGGAGTATTGTAGGAGGTGTGGACCACATGCTCACCCAGCCTTCCTATTCCTGCCCTGGCTCCCCTCTCTTTACCTCTCATTTCTTCACCTGTAAAGCAGGAGTTTTAAGTTGCTGGGCTGATTGAGGACTGTTGTCCTAAAATGTCATCACTGCCATATACTGAAGAAATGCACTGGAACATGGTGAGCAGGCATTGCCACACACAAATCTGGGTTGCCTGGTAAAGTTGAGTTTTTTATGAACCACATTAACATGCTTGAAAATTGATTATATCAATGAACTGTCAGGCCTTAACCAATAAGAGCTCAGGCACGAAAACCTTCTTGCAGCCTGGCAGCCAACCACCTCTTGGTTTTTGCAGTGCAGGGAGCACCAACTTGTTCACATAAGATCAAGGAAAGATCACTGGGAATAGAGATCTACTGAGGGCCTAATTAGTTTCCTCAGCCTTGCAACTTGTAGGCTGGAGAATCTTCTCATGATGAGTAAGCAGTCTTCACCTATAGAACCACAGCAGTCTAGAGAACAGGGATGCATTCTCCAGCTTAGAGCCAGAAACCTGAGTCATAGACTCTTTTAGAAGCAGACAAGAGACAGTCTGAGGTCCTAGGAATTCAGCCTGCCACCCAGAATAGAAGCTGAGCACACTGCTGGTGAGGGGGGCCTGCAAGAGAGTTAGTCTCCCTTCTTCCAGAAGAAGCTGAGGCTCAGAGGGGAAGTGACTTCCGGAAGAACAGAGAGATAACACAAGCTCTTCTGATACCAGTTTTGCTTTTGAAACAGTTCTGTGACTCGGGAGAAGCCACCAACCCAGTAAGTGAAACAGAGTGTGACAAAGGACAGACACTTGGCCAAACAATTTTCCTGGCTCAAGAGCCTCTTGAAACCTTATCTGGGGTTCATGGATTTTTCTCCCAGAGAGAATGTGGCTCAGTGACAGCTCCAGCCTTAACCTAAATCGAAGGCTGGGTGACCCTGGTAAACATTTGTATCCCACTGCTGGATTAAATAGTACTGCAAAGACCATTGGCCTCTGAGTGCAGCAAGATTGAGCTGTGACTTCTGTTATGACTGTCCTCATATCTGGAGTTATCATATCAGTGTGGTCAAGTGAAAACATGAGAATCACAACTAGAGGCTCATGTGACTGAGCATCACAGCCTCTGCAGTTCCCATTTCTTATGGTGGCAGCCATATTGTCCTAAGCTATTGTTATTTAGGGCACTAGCATGTGGTTGCATGGAGTCAGTTTGGCTCCTTTTAACTCCACTGAGTAGAAACTTACATACTGAGTTCTGTCTGGACTACAATATGAAGGATGCCCCAAATTACTTATTCTGTGACATGGGCTAATAAGTATAACCCCTTCCCCCTGGGGAAGTGAAATTTAGTAGGAGAATAATATAAATGCTCAAATGTGTACACTACGATACCTGAAATGAAAGATGGGTAACCTCAGGCTTAAAGGAAGGAAAACAAATGTAGCCAGCTGAGAGGGCCCAGAAAGTATTTGGGAGCTAGAGACACAGTTCAGCCGTAGAGTACTTGCCCAGTTTGTTAAGGGCTCTGAGTTTTGTATCCAGTACCACAAAAAATAAAGGTCAGAAAAAGAAAACACCCAAGAAGAGGGAAAATATCCTTAGAAACAAAGAATGGCAGCTGAGTAGGATTTAGACAGTAGAGAGAGGTGAGGGAGAGCAGAGAACACATAGGCAGAAGAAAGAGTCAGTACTTAGAGTTTCATGCCGGTGTACACCTCCACGCCCCAGCCACCTGCTGTACCAGAAAGGGCCCTATTATGCTAGGAACTGGACAACACATCTTAGGAGAGAAGCTAGTTTTTGTTTTCCATAATTATTTTCCAAACACAAGCCTCCTAGGCAAAGCTGAGGTGGGTACCAGGAAGCCGGGTCAATTTCTGTGGAAAGAGGGCTCACATGTGTGTAGATGTATCACAATAGTTTCGCTCAGAACACTTGGAGAAGGAATCTTGGGAGAGATCGTGCTTGCTCTGCAGATGAAGAAAGCCATGCCTAGACAAGTTTACTGAATTGGGCAGTGTGAATAAGAACATGTGAGTGACGCATGATCTATCGTTAGATGAATATAATGAGCCTGGGTCCAGGCTCCGGATGATGACATGAGAATTCTCCTATGTGCTCAGACTTCCTTTAAGTTCTCCCTTTGAGTGGCTCACTACCCAAGCCAGAGCTGCTTTAAGAACAGTAGACAGAGAAAGCCTCTCCCACAGTCTAGGCACTCGCACTCTGGGCCTGTGAAGAACTTTTCAAACTTATTGTAGGCAGACATCAGTCATCACTAGTCAGGAATACCTTACTACTAACTGATAGTGAGGTATTCCAGTAATGGTTTCCTTCCTGTATAACGCTAGAGTTGGCCCAAAGAGGAGCTTGTATGAATCTGAAAAGCAGTAACCATTACTCTGTCAAGGTGGTTTTGGTTAGATGGGAGAAAGCCCCTTATGTTTTAACTTCTCTTTTTATCCTTTCTACACTCAAGTCTCCCTTCTACACCACACTCTGAGGGCCAGAGGTGGTCCCTACCTACTGTCAGGTACAGGAATGTGGACCCAGAAAGGTGCTACCCTTCTTTGAGCCAAGAGTTCTCAGAGGCCTCTTTAATTAGAACTTTGGTAGGTACCAACTTTTCCACTGGTGCGAGAGCTTTAGGGG